GAGGGGCTGTGCACCGCTCCATGCCTCCCTTCCGATGCGATACAAGTAAGAACAGAAGCAAGCGATTAGCACATAATCATATGGAAAATGTAGTCGAGTCCGACATATCCATCAGGATCGACAGATAGTCCCGATACGCTGAGAGGAACAGTTGCGGATTTCACCAATATCGCCGCAGATCGCCGCCGCACCAAATTATACACATTGGCATAATATTTCCCCAAGAAATGCGAGGGTAACAGTCTGACCAATATTATCGCTGCAACTTGAAAGACCATATGGTACAATCTCGCGACTGGCGAGTCGGTGTTGAACCTGCTGAAGATTGTCGACTCTTCGACAACTCGCCATCAGATCGACCAATATGGTACACCGTGTAAGATTACGTTTCACACGATATCCAAGTAAAGGAAGGGAACATTTTTCTCAGATTCTACATATTTAAAAATTGCACAATTATTCTTCTTTACCCAAAGATAATACCAAAGATAATAATAAATCCAAAGACTTACAATAACGATTGAAAATGCATTTCAAAGAGGAATATTTCCTGTTTGCAATTATCTCAAAAAATCATATGCATCTCTTCTATGTTCGGAGATACAACGATTTAAATATTCCACGATCTTAAAAATTGCAAAATTACATCTTCTTTATTTGATGATAACAAATCAATCCAAAGACGTACAATAACAATAACAATAACAATAACAATAATATGAGCTCGATAAAGAGGAATGTTCCTCGGTTGCAATCACCACAGAAAATCGTTCAAATATTCCACAAAATAAAAAATTGCAAATTTACGTTTTTTTTTCTTAATATAATCCCTAAAACCATAGACGTAGAGAAAGGACTGAGAGCTTATTGCAAAATTAAAAAAATATTATTCCAAATTAATAATGTAAAGAATTAAATCTCGCTATTAAACAAAATATATTTAAAATAGAATATTATGATTAAAAATGTTTATATTAATATTTATAATTATAAAAATTATTATAAGATAAAATATATTTACATTTTTATAATTTTTAATTATAACATTTTAAAATCAAATCTAAAAAAAAATTAAAAACGAAACTATGTATATTGATATGGATTGAAACTTGTGAGATTTATATTTTTTTATATTTTATAATTCTATTATATAAAATATTATATAAAATATTGTTATTTTTATACTGTAAATTTATTAAAAAATATTGATAAGGAAAACGTTTAAATTATTTACTTTTTTAAACATTCAAATTAAAGATATAATACATAAGAAAACTAAAAATACTTCATAAAGATTAGTTAAAATATTTATTTATTTCATCGATTGCTTTCTATTTTTTATTTTTTTTCAATAAAAAAATTATTATTAATTAAAATTATTATTAATTATTATTAAAAAAAAATGATTGAATATTATATTTTCATATAGGTTATGATTATTGATGTTATGTATTATATATTCATAGTAATGTTTTAAAATTATATATTAAATGTATTTTCATTTTATATTTTATAATATATATTTTATTTTTTATTTATATTATTATATATAAATATGAATTACACAAAATATATACGAAGAAGTTATATTCGAAAATAAATAAACGTGACGACCAAATACAATATTAATAATTTAAATTAATGTTAACTTTTAAAATAACATAGGATATCAAATAGTTATAATTTAAAAATTAAACATGTCTGTTGACAATAATATTTTAACATAATTTGTTATATATATAATTTTAATAAATTAAATAACAAATATAAGTGACATGAATTTGTTTACCGAATAAAAAATACCGATATTAACACAGAATATATATGAAAATTTTTTATAATAATATGAATTAATTATTTTATCGAAAATCTTTAATTTTCTTTAATTTTCACCTTTATAAAAGAATGCATAACTTACTATATATATAAAATATATACACATATAAAATAAGATCAATCTTTAATTTTTTTTAATTAATTTAGATAATATGTTAGAACGAAATACTTCTATTAATTTAAATATATTATTATAATTCATTTTATATATAATTTATTTATTTACTTCTTATTAACTTGTTAATGAGAACTTTCTATATACAATTAGTCGCAGAATTTCATTCACTTTATACAAATTCAATTAAATTTGTGTTATCGAAATCAACAATAATTATGTTTTATATGAAATATTGTTTTATATGAAATAATAATATGAAATTATTTTTTTTTATTATGGAATATCATTTCAAAACAAAAAAACAAGAAAACCAATTTTTCAACTTTCAATATTATTTATCTTTCTTTATATAATTTCATTTAATAATGATTCAAGATAAAATTTTAAATTATATAATATTTAATTCTATCTGTATTATCGGAAATAGAAAATAATATATTTCCAGAAGAAACTAGAAATATCCAAAATAAAAAACATGAAAAAATGAGAGTTGATTTCACTCTCATACTCAAGATACTCAAAGAAATTTTTTGTTCAAAAATAAATTATTCTATATATAATATTTTAATATATTACTTTATATTTATTTAAGTTATCATTGAAATCAAATTTTACATAATAATTCAATTTCTTTCTCTGCTACAAAATAGCATAAAAAATTCTTATGATTATATCTTAAATTACAAGCAAAACCTCGATTAATTAAACTAATAGTAATGTCAATAGTCCAAGTGTAATATATAGTTACATATAGATCAATAATTTATTATGTTTAATGTGAAATATTACAAACAATATAATAAACAATTTTACTATACCCGTTATATATAATGGTTTTTTATTACATATATTATATTATTACATATATTTGTTTCAATCAATTATTTCAGCATTTTGATCTCTTTTATTCTGAATCGTCAAATTATTATTCAAATTGTTATTTCTACATTTCCTTTTTTTTTTTTTTTGAATGCTTCTAAATGCCTACGATGTTGTCAAAACATCGTAGGCATTTATTTTTATTTTGGTCATAGACTTATTCTCAATTCTTTTCTGTTAAATATCTTTACAATTACATATAGTTATTATATTTTCAAACTTCTATCTAATATCACATTGTCAATCCTTATAGACTTTGATATAGATACAATATATTAAATAGATACTATAGATATTAATATTCTATAAGGAAAAATCACATTCTATATCGAAATTTTTTCCGAAATTAAATGAAAAAATTCTGATAGAATTACAAATAAAAGAAAAAATATAAATTATTGCATTTCATGAAAAATATTGACTATATATTACCCATTCTTATATGTAAATTTTAATAATTTTTTAAATCGGTAATCCAATCTTCTTCTGAACTATTAAAGAATTTTACAAATTTCTTGAATTAAAATATATATCTTTTTTCAAACAATCATTAATATTATAAGAATATAATTGTTTTTAAGTATAAAAAATGGAAAACGATCAGCATGATATTTTCACATAGACTCGTCGAATTATTGCCTGAAAAATAGATAATGATAAAAATTATAGCTTTATTGAAAAAAATCATTAGGCATAGAATTCCATCAAAAAGACGGTTCCTAAGACAAACACGTGTTAAATCAAATTCTGCCTTGAAAGAAAATATATTCATCAAAACGGTAAGCCTTTCGATAGGAAAATCGCTGTTATGGCAAACGAATAATTGGAAATCATTCAGAGTTGTGTTTTCAGGTGTAACATTAAAAAACCCATTCGAAATGCGTCAAACTATAAGATAAAAAAATGAGGTTAATAACAATGTCAAAATTTGATCACAAAAATTCACGTTAAGGATATATTGAGTTATGAAATACTACTCGTTACAAGAGATTTCTTCTCGTTAAGAGATTTCTAGCTGGAACTCAAATAATGAATTAAGTCACTAAAATTCGATTATGATAAAAATTGAAACTTTTCGACAAGAAAATTGCTGTTACAACGAATTTGACATCGAAAATGAATAGATATTATCCAATTCGCACTGCTATTACAAATTGTGACACGAAAATTCGATTTTGACCAAAATTGTACATTTTCGTTTCGTAAAACGCTCTTATGGCGAATTCGGCATCGAAAACATTCAGAGATATGTTATCCAACACTAACTCTCTTAGTTGCCTCAAATTCTGCAACGAAAAATTGATTACGATAAGTTAAATAACTTTTTATCATGAAAATCCTCGTTTCGGTGAATTCTGCATTAATATATTGTTGAGAGTAACGTTTTTGGCCAATATTAGAATGACGATGAATTCTGCTGCGAAAATTCGATTTTGATAAACATTGTAACTCTTTGACAAGAAAAACGCTATTACGGCGATTTCTACATCCAAATCGTGCAGAGATACGTTGTCCAACACTATCTCTGACAGACATGTCAAATTCTGCAATGAAAAATTGATTTCGATAAGTTAAGTATGTTATGGATACGAAAATCCTAGTTTCGGCGAATTCTGCATATCGTTGAGAATGTCGTCTTTAAACTGATATTCAAATTTCGATTAATTCTGCAGTGAAAATTCCATTTTGTACAAAATTTCAACTTTTCGACAGGAAAAACCCAATGACGGCGATTTCTACATCGAAATTATTCAGAGATACGTTATCCAGCACTATCTCGCTCAGGTACGTTAAATTATGCAACGAAAAATTGATATCGATAAGTTATGTAGTTTTTCGGTACGAAAATTCCACTTTCGGTGAATTCTACTTCGAAAATTTGATCACAAAAATTCAATTCGTTGATAATGACATTTTTATACTGGTATTTAAATTTCGATTAATTCTGCAATGAAAATTCGATTTTGTACAAAATTGCAACTTTTCAACATGAAAAACTTTATTATGGCGATTTCTACAAAATCATTCAGAGATACGTTATCCACCACTATCTCGCTCAGATACATCAAATTATGCAACGAAAAATTCATATGGATAAGTTGAGTATGTTATGAGTACGAAAATCCTAGTTTTGGCGAATTATGCATTGACATATCGTTGAAAATGTCGTTTTTATTCTGATATTCGAGTTTCGAAGATTTCTGCAGTGAAAATTCGATCTTGTACAAAATTGCATCTTTTCGACACAAAAATCGCAATTACGACGATTTCTACATCGAAATCATTCAGAGATACATTATCCAGCACTATCTCGCTCAGGTATGTCAAATTATGCAACGAAAAATTGATATGGATAAGTTGAGTATGTTATGAGTACGAAAATCCTAGTTTCGGCGAGTTTTGCATTGACGTAACGTTGCTGCTGATTCATTGCTATGAATAATACGAAATAATGATTATAACCTATATGAAAATTGAAAATTTGACAGTGAAAAGAAATAAAAAAAGAAAATCGATGATTTGGAATAAAAAATATTTTAATATTAATAATTAAGTGCTTAGTGAAGTGTTTTAGTTTAGTTTTCTTTATTTGTTTAATTCGAAAGTGTGAAAGTGTAAATAATTTAATTTAACCATTTTTCTATGGAACATTTTATCCAATTTATATTATAAAATTAACAATTGTTTATATAATAGAATTTTAAAACGTGAATAAATATAAATCTCACATATAGTTTCTATCCATATTAATTTTAATAATTTCGTTATTTTGAAGATTATTCTTTTCAAAATTATACGATATAATCAGAAGAATTATAATAATGCAGAAATATTTAAATTCATAATAATTTTTGTGTTTAAATATATTGATACAAATATTCGTAATAAGAATAATAATAATAGTAATAATAGTAATAATAATAATAATAATAATAATAATAATAATGATCTATTTTAAATATATTTTGTTCCATAATAAGATTTAATTCTCTATATTACTAATTAAGAATAATATTATTTAATTACATTAGATTGAAATCGACAATGTGTAAATATTGGACAATGTGGAATTTATAATGGTCCAATCTCGTGTTGTAAAAACAAATATTGTGATGCGATGAGTATGTAAAGAATCTGGTGAAAGAAGAAAATTCATGGACCGAAGCATATGTAAACTTATTACGGGCACAACTGCTCAACAATTTTCTGTAGAAGATAAAGTCGAGGAAAAAAGTCCAAGGTAATATTGCGTGAATTTGTTCAATTGCCATTAATAAATGCCATAACAATTTGTAATGAAATGACAACACTCGTTTCATTTCATACAATTTTATTACAATACAATTGTAATAAGACATGCATTTTTAATAATTTTTTTTTATAGTTATACCATTTCTAATTGGTGGATTTGGAAATTGATTAATTCCATTAATATTAGAATCTCCAGATATAGCATTCCCATGAATAAATAATATTAGATTTTGATTACTTCCTCCTTCATTATTAATATTATTATTAAGAAATTTATTTTATCCAAGACCAGGAACAGGATGAACAGTTTACCCTCCTTTATCTGAATATTTATACCTCCTTCGGTAGATTTTGCAATTTTTTCACTTCATATATCAGGAATTTCATCAATTATAGGATCATTAAATTTAATAGTTACAATTATAATAATAAAAAATTTTTCATTAAATTTTGATCAAATTTCATTATTTCCTTGATCAGTTTTTATTACAGCAATTTTATTAATCATATCTTTACCAGTATTAGTAGGTGCTATTACAATATTATTATTTGATCGAAATTTTAATACTTCTTTTTTTGACCTAATAGGAGGAGGTGATCTAATTTTATATCAACATTTATTTTGATTTTTTGGTTATCCAGAAGTTTATATTTTAATTCTTCCAAGTTTTGGATTAATTTCTCAAATTGTTATAATTTGTTATAATTGTTATAATTGTTAAATGAAAGAGGAAAAAAAGAAATTTTTGAAAACTTAGGAATAATTTATGCAATATTAGAAATTGGATTTTTAGGTTTTATTGTTTGAGCTCATCATATATTTACTGTTGGATTAGATGTTGATGTACGAGCATATTTTACTTCAGCAACTATAATTATTGCTGTTCCAACAGGAATTAAAGTATTTAGATGATTAGCAACATATCATGGAGCAAAATTAAATTTAAATATTTCTGTTTTATGATCATTAGAATTTATTTTATTATTCACTATTGGTGGATTAACAGGAATTATATTATCTAACTCTTCAATTGATATTATTCTTCATGACATATATTATGTTGTTGGACATTTTCATTATGTTTTATCAATAGGAGCAGTTTTTGCAATTATCTCAAGATTTATTCATTGATATCCATTAATTACTGGATTACTAATAAATAATAAATGATTAAAAATTCAATTTATTATAATATTTATTAGTGTAAATTTAACATTTTTTCCTCAATATTTTTTAGGATTAATATCTATACCTCGACGATACTCAGATTATTCTGATTCATATTGTTGAAATTCAATTTCATCAATTGGATCAATAATTTCATTAAATAGAATAATTTTTCTTATTTTTATTATTTTAGAAAGACTAATCTCAAAACGAATAATATTATTTAAATTTAATCAATCTTCTTTAGAATGATTGAATTCATATCCACCATTAGAACACTCACATATTGAAATTCCAATATTGATTAAAAATTTAAATTTAAAATCAATCTTATTAAAATTTTAATATGGCAGAAAAGTGCATTGAATTTAAGTTTCAATAATAAAGTTTTAAACTTTTATTAAAATTAATAAATTTTAATTTATTAAAATTTCAACATGAATAATATTAATATTTCAAGAATCAAACTCATTTTATGCAGATAATTTAATTTCTTTTCATAATATAATTATAACTATCATTATTATAATCTCTACATTAACAATTTATATTATTATAGATTTATTTTTAAATAAATTTTCAAATTTATTTTTATTAAAAAATCATAATATTGAAATTATTTGAACAATTATCCCAATTTTTGTTCTTTTAATTATTTGTTTCCCATCACTAAAAATTTTTTGCAATTATCTTTAATTGATGAAATTGTAAATCCATTCTTTTCTATTAAATCAATTGGTCATGAATGATATTGATCATATGAATATCCTGAATTTAATAATATTGAATTTGATTCTTATATATTAAATTATAGAAATTTAAATCAATTTCGTTTATTAGAAACTGATAATCGTATAATTAGTCCAATAAGAATTCCCTTACGATTAATTACTTCATCAACAGATGTAATTCATTCATGAACTGTTCCATCGTTAGGAAAAAAAAAAGTTGATGCAGTACCAGGACGTATTAATCAATTAAATTTAATTAGAAAACGACCAGAAATTTTTTTTGGTCAATGCTCAGAAATTTGTGGAATAAATCATAGATTTATAAATCATACCAATTATAGTTGAATCAACCTCATTTAATTTTTTTTTAAATTGAGTAAATATAACAAACAAATATAAAAAATTAGTTAATTTTATATATAACATTAGTTTGTCAAACTAAAATAAATTTTATAAATTATTTTTTAAAATTTCATTAATCATATCTTTGTATATCTTTGTATAAATATCTGAAATTTAAGAGTTAATCTTTTAAATCAAATAGTATTTAAAATTACTTCTAATGAAATTTAATTCCACAAATAATACCTATAAATTGATTTATAATTTATTTTATATATTTAATTATTTTTAATTTATTTATTTTATTAATAAATTCATTTTTAATTAAACTTAATATAAAAAAAAATCTACTAAATACACATTAAAAAAATGAAACTGACAATGATAAATTTATTTGAAATATTTGATCCATCATTTAATCAATATTTATCTTTAAATTGAATATTTATATTTTTACCAATTTTTATCTTATCAAGAATTTTTTGATTAATTCAATCTCGAATTTTATTTGTTTTTAAATCTTTATTAAATTTTATATATAATGAATTTAAAATTATTTCAAAATCAAAATATCAATCAAATATTATTATTTTTATTAGAATAATAATTTATATTATAATATATTTAGTAAATATATTTAGATAAATATATAGTAAATATATTTAGATTAATCCCATATTTATTTACAATTACTAGTCATTTATTATTAAATATAATTTTGTCATTAACATTATGATTTAGATTTTTAATTTATTTAATTTATAAAAATTATTTAATATTTCTTAGACATTTAGTACCATTAAATTCACCAACTTTTTTAATAAATTTTATAGTAATTATTGAACTTATTAGATTAATTATTCGTCCATGAACTCTATCAATTTATTTATTATCAGGAAATTTAATTTCTGGTCATTTAATTTTAACTCTTTTAGGTATTTTTATTAGAAATTTTATTTTAATTATTCCTATTAATTTATTGATTCAAAAT